TTTGGAAAGGTCTCACTGAAAACACAGACTGTGCAGTGTGCACAAAATTACCCTAGGGGGGACCTGGGGTGGGGGTGACTGTCAGAGACTCGGGTGTTCTCGCTCCAAGAAGGGCTGAAGTAGCCGCAAAGGGAGGCCATGTGGCGGGGGGGGGGGGGGGGAGGTGGAGGGGGAGAAGGGGGGTGCCGGGGAGGAAAAAGAGATCGGTTCAGACATGCGCCCCAAATCAAAAGTCACTGGAACAGATGCTGCCAACCAGACGCAACTGATTTGCAATGGAACTGCTCCTTCTATGGGCAACAGGCAGCTCCGACAGAGACAGAGCTCTTTGCAAGAGGCAGCAGAGCTGTGTTTATTAAAGGGTAGAGGCTGCAAGGGTGATACAATGCACACACCCTGTCGTTCATCGAGCCAAGTGGATGAATACACGCGTGCGTATACACAGGTCTCAGCTCTTGTTCCCAGGTTCTAAGATGCTATGTGTATATTTAAAGACACACACACACACACACACACACACACAAATGGTCCACACTTACCAGAGTTTTTAAAAGTGTTATCACAGCTACTGAGATAACACTGTGATCACAGTCACTTTATCTTTATTTATTTATTTATTTATTTGGCTTTTTGGGTCACACCCAGCAATGCTTAGGGATTACTTCTGCTCTGCACTCAGGAATTACTCCTGGCGGTGCTCAGTGCTCAGGGATGCCTAGGATCGAACCCAGGCATGCAAGGCAAATGCCCTCCCCGCTATACTGTCACTCTGGTCCCCTATCACAGCCACTTTAAAACCTGGCAGTAGTCAGAGCGGCTGCATTCCTTACTCCTTGGTAAACAGTTCACCTGCTTCTCTCAATTACTTCACACACACACTTCTAAGCAGGGATTAATGGTCTTACAAACAATGCACAAACTGAGTCCTGGAGTACTTACACAGTTGGATCAAGGTTACAATTTGGCTTTAAAAAAAAAAAACAACAGGTAAAGTGGCAGATCCAGAGCATACACCAGATAGTCCAGCTAAGGGGCTTGCCTTGCATATAGCCAACCTGGTTTAAGCCTGGCATCCCATATGGTCCCCTGAGTCCACCAGGAGTGATCTCTGAGCACAGAACAAGGAGTAAATCCTGAGTATCACTAGGCGTGGCCCCCAAACAAATAAAAAGAGAACCCTGTCCAATTCAGGATTTAAATGCAGGTCCCTCGCCACTCCCTGAGGGACTGCCCTGTGCTACACTGACCTCAACTAGACTGTACTGCACGGTTGTGGTCATTACTGCAGGCCTGGAATCGGTCAGATCACAGATGACCTGACCTCAGAGTAGAGGCCAAGGTCTGAATCCTAGCAAATGACCCCAGCAGGTGAGGGGCTGTGCCAGAGTGGAGGGCTTATCAGAACAAGACGCCTCATCAGAGATTCTAACAGCACCTGGCAAGGTGTTCCATTAGAGTGGTGGCCTGGAAAACAGCTCAGAGACCAGGACTGATGCCTTGCGTGCAGGAATCCGAGGTTTTAGCCCTGGCACTGCAAGGTCCCCGAGCACTGAGAAGGAGTAGCCATAAGTCAGAGAATAGGTCAGCATGACTTCAGGAGACAGGAACCTGGTCCAGACCCTATTCCTGGCCTCCCCAAGCCCATCTGCACACAGTCACAGTTCACGTGCTCGAAAACACAAACACACATGCCCACAAAACTCCGGACATGAATGTTCAAAGCAAAATGACTCATGAGAGTCAGACAGTGGAAACAACACAAATGCCCACCAACTGCTGAGCGAACAGAGTGAGCCCTGTCCTCACCACGATTATTATTCAGCCATAAAAAGGAGGTACCAACTTGTGCCTCAGTATGGGTAAACCTTGGGGCAAAGGATGTGACTCGGTGGTAAAGTACATTCCAGGCATGCATAAGACCTGGCTTCTTGCCGCAGCAATGGATAAAAAATTTTTTAAAACATGGTTAAACCTTGAAAACATTATGCTAAGTGTAAGAAGTCAGTCACGAAAGCTCACATATTACATGATTCCATTTGTATGGAATTTCCAGAACAGGCAAATCCATAGAGACTAAAAGTCGATTAGTGGTTGCCAAGGGCTAAAGGGAAATGAAGAGTGGGGAGTGGCAAGCGACAAGGTTCAGGGTTTCTTAGCAGGGAGGAGGGGTGGGAATGAAGACTGTTCTAGAATCAGAGCATGTTGATGTTAGCACAACATTAGGAATATACTGGAAATCACTGAATTCACTGCATAGTTTAAAATGGTGAACTTGGGGCCGGCGAGACAGTACACTGGATAAAGGTTCGCCTTTTTGCCTTGCACACAGTCTACCAGGGTTTGATCTCTGGCACCCCACACAGTCCCCTGAGAACCACCAGTAGTGATCCCTGAGCATAGAGCCAGGAGTAGGTCATGAACACCATGAGATGTGACACTCTCTCTCTCTCTCTCTCCTCTTTCTCTCTCTCACACACACACACAATGGTGAGTTTTTAAATTATATGTGAATTGAATATCCTTTTTTTTTTCCGTCTTTTTGGCCACACCCAGTGCTGCTCAGGGGCTACCCCCAGCTTGTTGTTCTAAGGTCACGCCTGATGGAAACCATCCCCACCCACCCTGTATGTGGATTTTATCACAGTTTAAAACTCTCCAAGGGACCCATGAAGTAGGACAAAGGCTAGGGCACTTGTCTTGCACACAGCTGACTTGGGTTCAATCCCTGACACCATATATAGTCCCCTGAGTCTCAGCAGGAGTGATTTCTGAGTGCTGAGCACTGCTGGGTGTGGCTCCAAAACAAAACAAACTGAAAAAATGCCAAAAAGGGGTGAAATAAATAGATAAAATAAACAGCTCAATGGGCTGAATTCACGCTCTGCATGCAAAGGCCTGGGTTCAACCCACAGCACCCCACTCAGCAATAGCCCAAGTGACCCTGAGCAGGGCCCTGTGGGATACAGTCCATTCCCTGCCCCAAACCAATACTAATAAAAAGTTAAAATTGCCAGAGTGAGTTCAGTGGGTTAGAGCACATGCTGTGCATGTAGGAGACCTGGGTTGGGTTCAATCCAAAGAAGCTGGAATAGGGGGCAGCCCCGCTGGGATAAGGGAGGCAGCGGGGAGTTACCATCGCCAGGACGAAGACCACAGAAAATGCTTCTTGCGGTGCCTGGTACCGGCCCAAGCAGCACACACAGTAGCACTGTAACAAATCACATCAGCACTGATGCTGGCTTTGTGCCTGGGATACCGAAGGGGACACTGGTTGGCGGGGAAGCTGCTGCAGCCCAGCTGGACCACAGGGCCACTAAGGAGCCCGCTCAGCTTGCACCTTCTCCTCTCTGTGCCCACCCCTCTAGCAGGCTAAGTGCTGTCTCCATGGCAACCTTGCTGTCCCAGGCTAGGCATCACCACAGCAACCTGTCAGGATGGCAAAGGCAGATATTCATGATGGGAGGGGGGCAGTGAGGAGAACGCTGCAGAGACCCTCGTCTCCATGGAAACCATGACAGGAAGGCGGAACATGTCAGAAAATGCAGAGCCAGAGCAGTTCCACCTCCCGGCCCAGCTTCGCCTCCTGCCACGCCTCCCGCCCAGCTCCGCCTCCCATCCCGGCCCCGCCTCCTGCCACGGCTGGCCTCTAACCCCGCCCCCTCTCCTGCCCCGCCCCCATCCCGGCCCCGCCTCCTGTCACGCCCCTCTCCAGCCCCACCTTCCCACAGCAAGCCCCGCCTCCCGCCCAGCTCCGCCCTCTTTCCAGCTCCAAGACCTCGGAGATGGGTCGCAGGTAGCAGTCCAGCCTTGCTAACGTCCGTTCAGCAGGAACAGGGTCCCGCTTTCAGAGCACTTCTTGGGTGCCAGGAGCCCGTTGTGGTCAACTGTGTGACATGCTTAACTTCATTTAAATTTTATCACAGACCCGTGGGCCAGGAATGTGGCTTAGTGGCAGAAGCACATGCTCTGCATGAGTGAAGACAAGAATGAACGATAAACCCCAAGCATTCAGAGAATAATAGCAAAAGTCATTCCCGATCATCCTCCAGTCATTCCTTTCTTATTTTTAAGCAAACCTTGTTTTTTTTTAAATTTTTTGGGGCCACATTTGGGACCATCTAGGGTACTGGGGATCAAATGTGGGTTGGGCATGTGTAAGGCAAACACACTACCCTTTGTACTATCACTCTGGCCCCCTCCTGCTGTTTCTAACTCCTGTTTCAAGAGATCAGCAATGGTGAAACGGAGATTCAGGAAAGACCCTCAGCAACTGAAGGTCTGGGCAGGGAGTGGGTGGCAAAAGTCCCCAATGTGCCTGGAGGAAAGACAGCTAGAGGACGGTTCTGGGTCAGAACTGTGGCCTCTGTCCTAGAAGCTGACATGCCCTTCCCTGGAGACCAGGCCCCAGAATCACTGCTAGGGTACCTTGAAAGCATCCCAGCAGCTGGGGACCAGCTATTCCTCTGCAGCCAGAAACCAGCTTGGGCCGCTGTGCACAGGAACCTGGAGTCTGGAAGATTCCAGGCTTTCAGGGTCCTCATCTGGGCTGGCTGTTTCCAAATGGCATTTTGCAAAGCTCCCTGGGCCGTCAGGGAGCTGCCACCATTCCTACCTTCTCAGGTGGTTTTCTCCTTCATAAGAAGGGCAGGAGGGGGCTAGAGAGATAGTACAGTGGGCAGGGCATTTGCCTTGCACATGGCCGACCTGGTTCAATCCCCCACAATCCCATATGGTCCTCCAAGCACTGCTGGGAGTAATTCCTAAGTGTGGAGCCAGGAGTAACCACTGAGCACTGCCAGGTGTGGCCAAAGGAAGGAAGGAAGCAAGGAAGGAAGGAAGAGAGAGAACGAAAGAAGAGAAATACATGGTGGACGAAATGAATGATTCAACAGCTCAGCCATGACTGAGCAGACGGAGGTTCAGAAACCAGTGGGAGAGCTGGTACCGCACCCCCCCCCAACCCTTCACACACCTGACCCAGCCCCACACCTGGCCCTCACCTCTCTCGGCCGCTCAAGCTCCGTCTGCAGCACCTGCTTAGCCAGTTCTGTCTCGATGAGCCGCTGTCGAAGCTCCTCGTTCTCCTCTTCTAGCCGTGCTCGTTTCTTCTCCACGACCTCCAGCTCCTTGTGCAGTCGCACGGAGATGTCCTTAGAGACCTGAGTGAGGGCAGGTGATGAGCAGAGCGGGGACAGGCTGGGCTTCCCTCCCCCGCCCCCACATTGTCACAGCCAATTTAGCCGATGAAGGAACCAAGACTCAGAGACACCAAGGAACTCACTAAAGGTCACAAAGCTAGAACCCAAATCAGGCACCCTGTGTTGAAGCATCACTCAGTGCCCAGGCCCCGCTAATTCCTACGAACCCCTTTTCATTGAACTGATTTGGTTTTTGTTTGTTTGGGGGCCACATCTGACAGTGCTCGATGCCTGATCTGTGCTCAAGAGTGACCCCTTGCAGTTCTCAGGAGATCATATGTGGTGCCATGGGACCTAATTCAGGGTTAGGCGAATAACAGACAAGTGCCTTAACCTCATAAACTAGCTCTCTGTCCCCCCCCACCCCCCCCAGCAAGTCACTTTAAAGAGAGGGTAGTGGGGGCTTGGAGAGATAGTACAGCAGGTAGGGCGCTGGCCTTGTACACAGCTGACCGGGGTTCAATCGCTCACACAACATATGATTCCTGGAGCCCTGCCAGGAGTGATCCCTGAGCACAGAGCCAGAAATAAGCCCTAAGCACCACTGGGTGTGACTCAACCAAAAGAGAGGACTTGGGGGTGGTGCTAGAGTGAGCGTACAAAGACACTTGCTTTGCAGGTGGCCACAATGGCTGTGGCCTCCCGTCTGAATCTCCAGTACCACATATGGTCCCCTAAGTACCACTTCAGGTGACTCTGGAACACGGAGCCCGGAGTAATACCTGAGCACCATGGGGTGTGGCGCAAAGTCTCCCTCAAAATAAAAATAAATAAATAGAGAATAAAGAGATGGAGGGGTTGGAGAGATAGCACAGTGGGTAGGGCATTTGCCTTGCATGCGGTCAACTCAGGTTTGAGCCCCGGCATCCTCCTCTAAACACCATAAGGAATAATTCCTGAGGGCAAAGCCAGAAGTAACCCCTGAGCAACATGGGGGCTGGTCCAAAACCCCAAAAAATAAAAAAGAGATAGGGGCTAGAGCGATAATAATACAGTGGGGGGGAGGGGCGCTAGTATTGCATGTGACCAACCTGGGTTTGATCCCCGGCATACCATAGGGTCCCCTGAGAGCCCTACTAGGAGTAATTCCGGAGCACAGAGCCAGAAGTAACCTATGAGTAAGCCGGGTGTGGCCAAACAAAAAACAAACTCAAATAACTAAATAAAATAAAAGGAGGAAAGTGAGCTAGAGTGAAATTCAGAGTAATGAGAGACTCAAGCCCATCTGAACCCTCTGGTCAGTGATCAGTATGTGATTCCAGGCAAGTCACTTCCCCACAGGGTCTCGTTCTCCTGTAAGCGAGTACGGCCATCACAGCTGCGGGGCCGGAATCAGCCCTCACGCAAAGGCAAGGCCCTGCACAGGGAGCGGGTGAGCCGAGGCCACCACTCCAGGAGCAGAAGCCCAGACAGGGGATGACCCTCTGTCACACCAGTCCCCAGTCGTCTGGGACACTGAACGTGCCCCAGGTGACAGAGACTGGGCAGGAATCCAAGGCATCCCACAGAAAGTGGCTCCCTGTGCCCTTGGGTCTCATACCCTTCACTCTGGGGATGAATGAAGAGAGGGCTTCTGGGGTCACCCTGGCGATCACGACCAGAGTCTGCCCCTGACTGGCCAGGCACTGCCGTTCCCAAACACAGACTGGAGACGAGATACCTTCATCCTCACCCTAACTCTGTCTTCCATAGCAAGAACACGTAGGCTCAGCGGGTAGGTGATTCGCCCAGGATCACTTGAAGCAAAGAAGAATCGAGTTGCGAGGTAGCCCCGGGGACAGGACTCCAAAAGGGGGTCCCTGGGTTTTGGCCGCAGGAAACGTGCATGGGCAGAGAGCCCAGTGCCCTGTGCCTGCCAGTCTCGGAAATGACCACAGGCTCTCTCCCGGGCCCGAAGGGAAGGGGCCCTCCCTGGCGCTACCCTCAGCCTGGGCTGGAGCCCAGCTGGGCACGGACTCCTGGGCCACGCGAGACAGGCCAGGAAAAACAGCCACAGCGAGAAATGCAGAGCTGCTCCCTCTGGCCTGAAGCTCGCCAATAGCGGGAGGTGAGGGGGGGGGGCGGGGACCCAGGAGGCCCCTCAGACTGGCGTCCAACGCCACGCAGCTCTCTTACCCACAAAGTGTCGTGGACTAGCCCTCACTCTCAGAACAAGGACGGTGCCCTGGGGAGAGCCAGAGCCACGGCCATGCTTCCCGTGCCCCACCCCGCCACCATCCAGCCCTGGGAAGTGAAAGTCTTTGTGCTTGCCTGGGCTCCGGGGCTGCCTTTCCCAGTCCCCAGTGCCCAGTCCCCTGGGATTTCATTTCCCATTTGCTCCCTGCTGCCAAGGGGTACCTCATCTCAAGAAAACCCAATCCAATTCAGGGCTGGTGCTGCAGAACAGCACATAGGGTGCTTGCCTTGCTCGCAGTTGACCTGGGTTCAATCTCTGGCATCCTGAGCACCATCAGGAATAATTCCTAAGTGCAGAGCCAGGAGTAACCTCTGAGCACTGTTGGTGTAGCCCAAAAAGGGGGAAGGAAGGAAGGAAGGAAGGAAGGAAGGAAGGAAGGAAGGAAGGAAGGTGAGAGAGAGGGAGGGAAGGAAGAAAGAAGGAAGGGGAGAGGGGGGGAGAGAGAGAGAGAGAGAGAGAGAGAGAACCATTTCTAGTGGGCATGCAGAGTTGCCACCTGCACAGAAGAGCTCTCAGTTCATATCCTGAGGCCCGGGCCGATCAGGCACAGAGCATGAGACCCTCAGGCCCACTCAGAGCTTCACTGGTCCTGCCCCCGCTACCCCAGCCCCCAATCAGGGTGATTTTGGAATCCTCCCAGTCACTTTCCCTGGCATTTACCGCAAGCCTTTCACGGTTACAAGAAGCGTTTTGATTTTCTACCCCATTCTCAGACTCTGAAAGGAGCTGCCAACTGCCAGGGTCACACATCCGGAAACTCCAGGACAGAGGTTTGAAATTCAATGGGTCAACTATCGGAGCTTGGGCAATTCTTTGCTTTAAAAACCCAAGGCCTCACACACGCAAAGCACGTGCTCTGTCACTGGGCTTCACCCCCAGCTCCCTATCTGTTTGGTTTCGTGTTGTTTTGTTTCAGAGATGCTCAGGACTTAGAAGTTACACCCCAGTAGAGCTCAAGGCACCACGTGGTACCAAGACTTGAACAAAGCCTTCTGCATACAAAGCCTGCACTCTGCTCAGCTGAGCTATCTTTCTCCTTTTTTTTTAATTTTATTATTTTTATTATTATTACTATTATTGGTTTGGGGGTCACGGCAAGCAGTGCTCAGTTAGTCCTGGCTCTGCACTAAGAAATTACTCCTGGTGGGGCTTGGGGGTCCATATGGGATGCCTGGGATCAAACCCGGGTCAGTCGTGTGCAAACGACTATATGCCCTACCCACTGTATTATCATCCCAGCCCCTGAGGTATCTCTTTGACTCTCTATTATTTTTCCTTAAGTCTCATCTTAAAAACCATGGATATGTGTCTCTGTGTGTCTATGTGCGAGTGGATGTGTGTAAGCATGTCTGCACATGTGTTTGTGTGTCTCTGGTATCTATGTATGTGTGTGTCTGTCCATGTGTGTCTGTCCATGTGTCTGCATGTGCATGTGTGACTCTGGTATGAGTATATATATGTGTGAGTGTGTATATGAGTATGTGTGCGAGGGTTTATGTGTGTGTATGTGAGTGCAAGTGTGTATGTGTGTGTGAGGTGGGGAGAGGGTGCCCGCAAAGGAATCCGGGCCTGAGCTCCATTCCACATCACCCTACCTGCTCCATACAATACAGAAGCTGCAGAAGCCCTAAAGACGGGGCTGGTCTGCACCCCACTGTTAACAGAAACAGACAAGGGGTGGCCACGGGGAGGGCAAGGAGGGTGGGGACTGAGGGACAGCCTGCTGGTAGCTCCCAGCTGGCTCTGGCTGGGGTTCATGCACCAGCTTTCCTGAGTCTGCCTTCCCCAGGGTGAGGGGTGTGTATTGGGTGTGTGTTGGGTGTGTGTTGTGTGTGTGTGTGTGTCTGTCTGTCTGTCTGTCTGTCTGGTGGGGGACAGAGGCCTCCAGCCCAGCAGGCTGCCTGAGCCTGGATGAGCTCAGCTTTCCAGCTGCAGGGGCGGAGAGGAGGGAGGGAAGGGCCAGGCAGATGCTGATTGGCTGGTTCAAATCTCAACAGAAGGGGCTGCTCCCCTCTGCCCTGACGCTCCCTCTCCCTCTCTGTCTCCCTCCCTCCCTCTCTCTCATGCACACCCGCCCCAGCTGCTCTTAAGCTCTTGGCTTTCTCTTGCACACCCACCACCCCACCGCCGCTGCTGAGTGCTCTCTCTCACACACACACTTACACACCCCCTAAGCTGATCTCTCTCTCTCTCTCTCTCTCTCTCTCTCTCTGCGGCTCTGTGCTAACAGCCCAGCCCAGCCCAGCCTGTCCTCCTGCCTCAGATCCGGAACTCTGGGTCCCACAGGCTTAGTCTGAGGTGGGGCTTTTGCTTATGGCTTTTGCTTATGACGTGAGTCTCTGGAGCCACTGACAGGGGCTGCCCGCCGTGGCGGAGGGGCACTTCGGTCCGTGAAGATACCACCTTTCTGTGATCAGTTTCCTCCTCATCCTGCACCCACATTCAGGACCCGAGCACGCAAGAGAGAGGACGCCCTCGGCCTGCGAGTGCTCAGGTTGCCCAGGGCCAGCCAGGGTCTCCTTCCTGCCACACAGCACACCACACCACACAGCTGAACTCCGGGAGCAGGGGCCGAGCCGGATTCCAGCAGCTTCCAGGGTGGCCCTTTCTGCTTTCTTTTCTTTTCTTTCTTTTCAATTTAATTTTTTTGGTTTTTGGTTTTGGGCCACACCCAGCAGTGCTCAGGGCTAACTCCTGGCCTTGCACTAAGGAATTACTCAAGGCGACCATAGGCCAGGGGTTGAACCCAGGCGGGCTTCACTATCTCTCTGGAGCCCCCTCCTGCTTTCTGCAGCAAGAGTAGCCAGGCCGGGGCCAGCCTGAGAGATGCTGCTGGCCACACGTCGAGTGTCATCACAGGCGCCTGAACTGACCCCTCCTCTCCTGGGCCTCATGGCCTGCCAGAAAACAGGACCATTAGTAATAAAGCTAAGGGGGGAGGGGCACCCCAGTGGCGCCTGGGTGTGGGGCCCCTCCCAATGCCACTCAGCATAGCAGTGGGTCTGTGACGGTTTGGTGACTGGGCCTGGCAGTGCTGGTGGCCACCAGGAAGAGCTCAGGGAACACTTTTGGTTTGGGGGGCCACACCCAGTAGTGCTCCTACCTCTGTGCTCAGGGACCACTCCTGGAGGGGCTCAGAAGACAACATGAGACAGATGAGACAGGGCAGCCTCCTGTAAGGCGAGTGCCCTGCCCCACGCTGTACTCTGCCCCCGCAGGGAACATATTTGTGTGTTTACAGTCACACCTATGGTGATCACACCCACTTACCTTCATTTATCTATTTCTGTCTTGCTTTTGGGGCCACACCTCGTGGTGCTGGGGGGTTCTCCCATCCCTCTGCTGGGCTCGCTCCCAGCGTGGCCCAGGGGAACCATGCGATGCCAAGGTCCACCCCAGGCCTCCTGCATGCCCACGGATCTATCACTCCCGCCCCTCCATAATCCCACCGAGTTTGTTCTGGGAGCACCCTGTGTGGCTGGGGCGGATGTGAGACCCATTTCACAGATGAGGACACGGTAACTGGACAGCGGGCCTCTCCAGCCCTGGTCTCTGCTCCCCTCCACTAGCACCAGAAAAAAAGTGCGTGGGGCCCAGTGGCAGGCAGTGGGCAGCAGGAGGGCAGGAGGGCAGCCGCGGGAGGGTCAGGAGCTTCCCATGGCATTCTCCCTGCCTGGGGACAGTCCCTGTGTTCACCGGTGTCACAGGGAGGGGGGGCGTCTAACTTGCTGAGGGGGGCCAGAGTGATAGCACAGTGGGTAGGGCGTTTGCCTTGCATGCGGTTGACCCGGGCTCGATTCCCAGCATCCCATATGGTCCCCTGAGCACCGTTAAGAGTAACCCCAGGGCATCTCCGGGTGTGACCCAAGAAGCAAAAAATAAATACAATAACTTGCTGAGGGGCACAAACCCTGGGCTGACCCTGGCACCCGTGGGTCCCACCCTGGAACAGGTGGAGGGGGAGGGTGCAGGCGGGCTTGCGCTCACCTTGACGTCCTGCTCCAGGCCCCGGATGAGCTCGCCGTCCACCTGGCCCGTCTGTGCGGCGCGGAGGCTGCGGCGCTCGGCCTTGCGCAGCCGGTACTGCAGGATGCGGCAGGTCTTGCTGGCCTGGTCCAGCTGCTGCCGCAGCTCCTGCAGCTGGTACACATCCTCCTCCATGTAGACGTCCCGCATCTCCAACATCTCCGCCCGCAGCTCCTCGATCTCATCCTGCGCGGGGAGGAAGGCCCGGTCAGGGGGCGGTCAGGCTGAGGACAGGCCGCCCCAGGGGGTGTCGCTGCACAGGGGGAAGTGGACTTTGTGAAAGCCATTTTGCTCAGGACATGGAGGTCAGGAGTTTACCCTGGCTTAGCTGGGTGCCGAGGCAATCACTGGGGCCTTCATGAGGGAGGCAAAGGGGGCAAATTGAGAAGGCAATCTGATGCACTTTTATTTTCTTTATTTTTTGGGGGGGAGCGGGGCGAGGATCTGGGCGGGCCTCCCCAACAGTGCTCGGGGCCTGGTGGGTCACTCTGGCTCTCCTCAGCCTGGCTGTGTAGGCTGATGGCTCAGTGCTGAGGGATGGGGCAATGGCTGGGATCCAACTCGGGGCCTTACTCCTACGAGATACGCACTCCGGTTTTGGACTCTAGCCTGCAGCTGAGCTCTGAGGCTGGAGGAAGGACTGCGAGCAGGCAGGCTGTGCCTAGGAGCTGGAAAAGGGAACAGATTCTCCCCTGCCCCGGGGGGCCCCATCCACAGACCTGGTGACTTAAACTAAGCCAGGATCAGTGCCCGGGGGCACAGCCCAAGTGCAGAGACCTTAGCTCCAGACCGCTGAGCTATCTCTCCAGCCCAGCACGTGGGTCTGGAGAGAAGGGGGCTGCGGGTGACCTCACTTCCTCAGGGCAGCTCCCACGTCCCTGTCACTGTCACTTCCCGCTTTGTCCCGGGGAGCACAGCTGCAACTCTCTCTAAGAGCTGGTCTCCGGAGAGACAGCGAGTGCCTGCGCTCCCCCAGCGCAGCCCACTGCGTCCTCCTGCCCTGCCACAGGCTCCCCACAAACACTCCGGGGAATGAATGAGTATCTTTCTGGCCAGAGGACAATGGCAAAGACTGACCATCGGAAAATAATCGTCAGAGTCTGGGGCTGAGGGAGGAGAAGGCAGGAGAAAGGGGAACTGTGCGACCAGGAACAAATGTGGAAACTGGTCCCACGTGGACAGAATGCTGCTTTCACGGCCACCCCACGGGCTGGACCCACACACTCAAAAGAGAAACCGAGTCCTGGGTGATGAACAGCTGCCGAGGAGGCAGAGAAGCCCTCCAGGACCAGGAAGCCCACCACGGCCGCAGCCTGCAGACGGGTCCAGCACCCGCAACCAGTGGCTTCACCCACTCCTGCAGCCTCAGCCTGCTCCAACAACAATAAATCCCAGGGGGGTTGGGGCCAGGGAGAAGGCGGGGAGGGAGGGAGGGAGGGAGGGGGAGAGAGAGAGAGTAGAGAGAGAAGGAGGGGGAGGCAAGGGAGGGTGCTTTGGGCTGGGGCAAGGGCTGAGGGTAGGAACCCAGGTCAGTCCCTGGGCCAGGGTGGCCCCCAGGGAGGTGGTTCCCTAACAGGGAGCGGCCTGGGGCGTCCAGTGGCCCCTATGATTGAAGGCCTCAGTCCAGTGCGGGGACCCTCCAGGCCAGTTCTTCTGCAAGCTCGGGGAGGGCATGTGTGCTTGGAGGTGCTGTTCCAGCTCAGGGCCCGCTCCCGGAGGCCTCTGCCCGGCTCTGACTCCGGGGACTACTTCTCAGACGGTGTGAACCCAGAAAACGAAGAGCCGCCGCCTTCCCCCAGCCCCCAGAAGGCCAGCCAGCCCTGCACCACAGCTCACTGAGGCGGTCCCCCCCTCCGCCCCCACTGGGGGTGGGTCCTCTCCAGGGTGGGTTCCCGGAGTCCTGCCAACAGTGTCTCGGCCCGCACCCAAAACAGAGTCCTGTTCTGCTCTGCGGGACCCCCACCCCACTCCCATGCATGTGCACACCGACTCACCATGCCACCCCCCAGCCAGTGGACAGAACTAAAAGTGGAAAAGAAGGAAGTGGGTCCGGCAAGGCCACGGGAGCCAGAGACAGGAGGAAGTGAAGAGCCGGCCGCCAGGGCTGGGATTAAGGAAGCGGACAGGAAAGGCTCTGGGAGAGCAGAAAGCTGGGGAGGAGTCGGGGGTCTGAGTGGCCCCCAGGCTCAGGATGCTGAGCCGCCCTTGAGAGTGATGAGAAGCAGCGTCTGCCAGCGCAGGCCGCAGGGCACGGGAGTCACTGGGAAATTGTTGTTGTTGTTGTTGTTGTTTTTTCAGATGATACAGATTCTCTGAGGCTGGAGCGATAGCACAGCGGTAGGGCATTTGCCTTGCAAGAGGCCAACATGGCCGACCCGAGTTCGATTCCTCCACCCCTCTCAGAGAGCCTGGCAAGCTACCGAGAGTATCTCGCTTGCACGCAAAGCCTGGCAAGCTACCCGTGATGTATTTGATATGCCAAACATAGTAACAAGTGTCACAATGGAGACGTTACTGGGCCCGCTCAAGCAAATCGATGAACAACAGGAGGACAGTGACAGTGACAGTGACAGATTCTCTGGATTTGGATGACACAGGGACCATGAACCCCCGACAGCAGCCTTTTACAGGGCCCTAGTGTGCAGGGGGGGACTTGTGGGGAATGTTCCCGGTCCCCATGGCACCCCTGAATCAGGAACTCTGGGTACCTCCAAAGGACCTTATGCCCTTTCTGGGTCTTCTTCCTGCCAGGCTGCAAGCCCGGGCATCAGCACAGAGCTAAGGACTGCACTTCCCGGGGCACGGCGGGCTCTGCAAGGCCTCAGCTGGCTGCCTTCCGGGTGGCCATGGGGGCTTGTCCCAGCCGCCTGCAGAATGTGGGCTGCACCCCCTGGTATTGGCACGTGAGAGGGCTGGTCACAAAGGCGGGCTTGTGGCCAGAGGGTGGGGTACAGCACGTGGGCACAGAGCCCAGAGGAGGCACTCAGGGCTGCTTGGGGAGGGGGGCAGGCGAGCGGCTGCTGTGGGGGGGATGGGGGAACTCTGCTTTAGTGGAGGTGCTCAGGTTAGTTGGGGGGGGGGCTCACTAGGCAGTGCTCAGGAAGACCGGCTGCAGTGCCGGGGATCAAACCCAGGTCAGCCACGTGCAAGGCCAGCACGGACCACTCTAGCCCCCTCAGACTTCACTGAGCCTCCAGGGGAACCTCTGTCCTGCAGTCCTACCTCAAAACAAACATGGTGGGGATGGGGGAGCCAGATAGTCAGGAAACAGCTGGGCGCAGTGGGGGAGGGGGCCCAGCCCCCCCCCCCCGCAGCCCCCCCAGGAGGGCAACAGGAAGGAGGGGCTCAGCCTGTCAGGGGGAGACTCAGCAAGGAGTCCCCAGCCCCTCCCACGGGACAGGAAACCCCAAACCTCACCTTCCGTCAGGGAAGGACAGGGAAGGACCAGGCGGCACCTTCCTAGGTGACTGGGAAAGGTAAGAGACCCTGCCAGGGAGGTCGCTCCCCCATCCCCCCCCCCCCCCCCCCCCCGCCCCGAACCCCGCCCACTCTACCCTCTCCAGCTCACCTCCCCTTCCTGCTGGCAGCTTAACCAGATTATTTAACCTGAACAGAAAGCGGGGGAGAAGCCGGGCACCAGCCCTTCCCCTTAGGGTTGATCCTGGCCAGTTGCTGAGGGGTCACCAGCTCCACAGAACAGCAGCCCCCCCACCCCCGGTGGCTGCTTCCTCCCGGGTCCCTCCAACACCTCCCCACTCCTGGGTGCCCCTGGCCTGCACCCTCTGGCACCCGCGGTGGTGCCCTCCCAGGACTTTAATTAAATCTTTAAGAAGCGCTCCCCGGGGCCAGAGCAATAGTACAGTGGGTGGGGTGTTCACCCTGCATGTGGCCAACCTGGGTTCCATCCCTGGCATCCCATATGGTCCTCCAATCATCGTCCGGTGTAAGCCAAAAAACAACAACAATAAATAAATAAATTAATTAAATAAAATAAAATAAAGAAGTGCTCCCCTCCAGGGAATGCTCACTTATTATCTGCCCATTTTGCAGAAGAGGAAACAGCCTCAGAGGTTGCCCAAAGCTGCATAAGCGTGGGACTAAGGGAGCTGGAAGCCAGGCAGCTCTGGGAGGCCAGGTCCCTACACTTCAGCTGTGTTCTACTCCCCTGCTGCTCTGGCGTTCCCTTTGCTGGGCCAATTCCTAATGATCTCATCTTTCCAGAAGGATCCCTCCTGCCTCAGTCTCACTCAAATTCCCCTCTGAACTCCAGTCCTCTCTGAGGGTAACGATTTCGGCTTGCATCTGCCTGACTGCCCATCTCTCTCCCCCTGCACGGGCTGGGAGGAGGGTAGGGGCTGGGTGTGCCTGTCCAGCATCACCCAGGATAGGCCAGGACACAGAGATCCACACCACATCCCTATGAGCGAACCAGTGAATGAAAAGGGAGAGGAGAGGGTGAGGGTGCAGCTTAGGGGCCGGGTGCACTTACATGCATGAGACCTGCTTCCATCCTGGAACACACACACACACACACACACACACACACACACACACACACCTATGGGGGAGCTGGGAGCGATACCACAGCAGGTAGGGCGTTGGCCTTGCATGCAGGCGACCACCCAGGTCCGATTCCCAGCATCCCATATGGTCCCCTGAGCACTGCCAGGAATAATTCCTGACTACAGAGCCAGGAGTAACCCCTGTGCGTTGCCAGGTGTGACCCAAAAAGAAAAACACACAAAGAACCCAAGGATTCTGGTCAGCCTGGGGGGGTGGGGGGGAACAAGCCTTCCTGATGGCTCCCCCATGCCAGCCCCAGTGTCGGGGGAACTTGGGCAGCCCTAGAAATGGTCTCAGACCCCCCTCCCCAGGCCAAAACTGAAAGACAGGCAGAATCCTCACGCTCCCCTATCTACTCTCTGTCCACAACAGCGTCCCTGTCCACTGCTGGCTGCCTGAGCCCAGAGGTCAGCCTGCAGGAAGCAGCCTCTCAGAGGCAGACCCGCTCCCCGAGATGGAGCAGTTCCCAGGAATCCTGGGGGATTCGGCCAGGAAGAGTCTCTTTAGAGAGGCCAGGCTGAAGGGCCAACCATGAGCTCACTCTCCTGCTAAGAATAGCAAGTGCTCTCCGAAGCCCAGGGTTGCAGCGTTTACAAAGACATTCCCGTTGAATCACCTCCCGG